GTGTGGGGAAAGGCACAGAGACAGCATGGTGTGGGGACAGCTCACATGTTGTTTCACGTGGGTAGTATGCAGAAAGCACTTTGGATGAAGGGTGGCTAAGGACAAGTGAGACAGGCCTGGGGAAGACCAACAGATGGCTGAGTTGGGATAAGAAAGGACTGGGGTGGGGGGGGCTCTGAAGGATTTTTAAATGGGGAAGGGGACAGAACAGATTTGCAGAAGAGGAAGCTCACTCTGCCTGGCCCTTGTGGGACTATTGCAGGAGGAGGCCGGAGGAGGTCAGAGTCCTTGCAAGCTAGGTTCACCGTAACATGGAGACTCGTGGGGTGGGGTGAGTGAAGGACAAGGAGCACCAGAGATGACTACAGGATTTCTGTTTGAACAACTCTGTGACTAGGGGTGGACAGGTGAACTGAAATGAGGAAGGCTGAGATGGGAGCAGGATTGTAGGAAACTGTGATTTCAGTTTTAAATGTGTCAAATTTGTAATTCTGTGTATTTGCATAGACATATCCAGCGGGTGGCTGGAAATATCACTATTCCTGATAGTGAACACCTGCTTTATGCCAGACAATGGCCATTCCCAATCTTCACACTCCCTACTTTCCCAGATGAGAGGAGGACAAGCTCAGACATAAGGAACCTGCCCAGGGGCCCAAAACTAAGAGAGGAATCGGAATCCAAGTCTTGGTTTCCAGTGCCCTTTCCCCATGGTTATCCACCATGGCTGAACACTGCAACAAGCTGGGGGCTTTAAAAACTCTATCGCAGGCCCCACTCACAGTCAGTCTGTGTGATCGTGGCTGACAGTGTCTAATATGACCGTGAGAGCAAGCCTGGTCCATGTGACAGAGCTCACTACTGGTTCAGGCATGTGAGAGGTCCTGAGTGGCCTCTGTGGCAACAGTTTAAGCAGAGGGGTAAGGGTGGAAGCTGATGCCAAAGCCTGAGGGGGTGACTAGGCAGCAGGAGAGTGGAGACTGCAAGGCTATCCGACTATATGAGGAGACTGGCAGTGAGGTGAAAGGAGCATGCCGGATCATGCTGCAGAACCAACAGAAGTTCATGTACTTAGGAGTGTGTGTGCGTTCGGTGCATGTGTGCATGTGTGTAAATAGGGCAGGCAAACCTGGGGTTTTGGGGAGGTGAAGAGGAGCTGAGGAGAGAGGAGAGAGGAGAGAAAAATCCAGGTGGTACAAGGACCCAAGGTGGGGTGAGACAGTTAGCGGACCAAGCAGCCTTGGATTTTGGACAGATGGAGGGACACCCATCTTTTGAAATCAAGGAGGAAGTCAGAGAGCTCCACAAGCCCTGAGGTGGAGGATAAGAAGTTAAGAGAGAGAATGCCTGACGGTTTCTTTTTCTTTCTTTCTTTTTTTTTTTTTTTGAGAGACAGAGTCTTATTTAATCGCCCTTGGTAGAGTGCCGTGGTGTCACATAGCTCATAGCAAACTCCACCTTCTGGGCTTAGGCGATTCTCTTGTCTTAGCCTCCCAAGTAGCTGGGACCGCAGGCACCTGCCACAATGCCCGGCTATTTTTTTGTTGCAGTTCGGCCAGGGCCGGGTTTGAACCTGCCACCCTTGGTATATGGGGCTGGCACCCTACTCACTGAGCCATAGGCGCCGCCCCTGATGGTTTCTTTTTGAAGTAGAAAGTGAGGCCATTGTCAGAGTTCAAGTTGGCACCTGAAGACAGCCTGCAAAAGCTAAGTGAAATTGGAGAAGGCTTCCTGGATCCCTTTTCCAACCTTTGCTCAAAATAGATCTTTATCTCTTTTTGTATGCTCTTGAGGCTGTGGTTCCGTGACTCCAAACTTGATGCCCCTTGTTGGCCCCATGGACTTGGGTTTTGTCTCCTCTTTAGGCCTTAAGTTTTCCCAAGGACTTGGCTTTAATCCACCTTTCCAGCTCTTAGCAATCCTACTGTCCCAGATAAAAGTTGTCTGCCCTACTGCAGCCCCAGGAAACCACCCACCCACCAACCCAGCCTCCCATTTGCTCACCAGGGCACAGATAAGCCGCGCCCAGTGCTGTACTCCCAGCTCCCGATGAGGGGAGAGGCAGGTAGGTGACTGGTTCCAACTGGTACTAAATTAGACGGCCTTGAATCTTTACAAATAAAGAGGAACAATTCCTTCATATTCATGACAAATTCATGAATGTTTTTCTGAAGAGCCAGTCAAATAAAGTTGGATTTGAGACTAGAAACAGATGGATGAACAAATAGCAGGTAAAAGGCTTGCTGTTGAAGGGATAATAATCAGAGAACTACATTTAAAGTAGGAAGTCCTCCACCTCTGCTCTTCTTCTCGGGTAGTTAGAGGTCATGGATCTTAACTCAGAAACAGATCAAAGGCACAAAGATAACAGTCATATTCAAGGGGTAAAGTTGAGTACACTTACACTTTTGGATCCTCTTGAATTGGGAGTGACCTTATGTGAGAGCAAGACAGAGCGTACTTGTTTTGGCTGATCTTAATAAGTGCACTCCGTGGACAAAATTCCTGTAATAATACCAAAAAGAGCTCACTCAATTTAAATCAGAAATGGCCACAATTCAGACATAATTTTATTCTAGCTCAACCCTTTGTAATAGCTTCTCGTCACTGTCCTATTCAGGGTGACACATAAGAGAGCACTGTAAATTCAGAGCCTCACTTGATAAGAATTTACTGAATAAAAGTCATTATTGCATCCTCACTGTCATTCCTTCATATTCTGGTCAATTGCCAGCCAAGTTTACCCATATAAGATGCCACATACTCACGCACACACACACCCCTTCATGTAACCACCTTTCTGTCTTTTTTGTGGCCTTGAAGGTCTCTTTCCTGGACACCTGTGACCACCAGCTTTTTGCTGAATGCCCAACCTTCAGCTTCATCAGATCTTCCATTACCACTGCCTCCCACGTCTTTCTCATTGGCCACACCACTCTATCGCCTAGAGGCCCTTGCCCTGTAGGTGAATTCCCAGGTCCTTCCTTAGGCTCTGAGGCTTTCCTTTGGGATCCTGAGCCAACTGCCCTATCTCAACCTGCACCCTGGGGAATGCCTGAGGGGTCCTCTATTAACACTCTCTTAGCTTGCTCCCACACCCTTGCATAGTAGATGTTCCCAGAGCAGTGCCACGTGTCAAGACACATGTCAGTGCCACAAGTCAAGCATCATGTCCAACCCAACAGAACATGAGAAGAAGGGGTGTCTGTTGGGTTGGCCCTGATGCTCTCATGGCCCCTGGCTCTGATGGTCTTCCCCTTATCCCCTTAACCCTAAATTTCTTTTACCATGGTCCTCTCTCCAATAACTACCTCAAGCCACAATCAAGAATTTCCTGCATATTTTTATTCTATAGACTAGGTACAAAGGACACAGTGGTTTAGAGTACAGGCCATGGAGCCAGATTGTCTGGGTACAAACACTTGCTCAACTGCTCACAGGGGTGTGACTTCACCCCTCTCTGCTTCAATTTCCTCATCCAAATACAAAGATAACAATAGTCCCTGCCTCACAGAGTACTGACGATTCAACTGTCCACTATGTGTAAAGGACTTGAATTCGCATCTGCAGCACCTAATAAGGGCTTAAGAAAGTTAGCCAGGGTGATGCTTCTTTGGGCTTACCAATCTATTCTGCTTGCTAGTCTGTTTTCCAGGCATGTTAAGTGGTCCATTAAGACAATGTCATTTTCCATTAGAAATGTCATTCATTCAAAGTAATTCAAAAAACAACTGTGAGACCCTTCTCTTCATCAGGCTGTGCTGGGGGTGGGGAGTGCCAAAGATGTGGCTCCTGCCTTTGAGGATTGGGAGCGTGGTGAGGCAGGGAGCATGGGAAAGGCCAGTGCAGCTGGTGGGAGAACCCTCCCACCAGGGGCCCAGCAGGAAGTGGCAGTCAGACAGAGGCTTCAGGGTGACAAGAGCTTCCAATGGAAAGGAGATGGAGAGGGCAGTCCGGAGGGGAAAGCCCACTGTCTTTGGGAAGGAGCGAGCCTTCCACTTGGCTGGAAGTTGTGCTTATGGAGCAGGTGGGGGCCACACAGGGACTTGCTGGAGGATGACAAGAAGTATGAGCGAGTGTGTGTATGTGGGGGGGGGCATCAAGCAGGTAAATGTCATAATCAGATTTGTAAACTGATGATTTTTCTAAAAGTTTTAGAAAAAACACACAGAGAAATACGTACTTGAGGAAGGATCTCTTATACAAAACACAGAAAGGGCAATTCATAAAGGAGAAGATGGGCAAAGTTGACCATATTAAAATTTAAAGCTTCTCTGTCAACAAAGAGTCCAAAGTTAGAAGACAAGTAACAGACCAAGAAAAGAATATTGGCTGCACATATTACCAAGAGTTACTATCCAGAAGACATAGAAGACCTCCTCATATCAATACAAAAGATAAACGACTTAGAAAATATAGATGCTTGACAAATGTCTATCCAATGAGTGAATAAATCTAGAGGTGATAGAGTTAATTCTCACTCAATGGTCATGGATGAGATTATTATTATTTCGTATACATATTTTCTTTAAGCTTCACAATCACCTTGCAAGATATATCTATATCTATATCTGTATATAGATAGATAGATAAAATATATTGATATATAAAATACCCATTTCATATGTGATAAAACTGAGGCTCAGAAAGGCGAAACAATCTGCCTAGGTCAGACAGTGAATAAAGAGCTGAGTGAATGTTCAGAAATGCAAATGCAGGTCCTTTTGACTGTAAGGCCCATGTGCTTTCCACTCTGCCCCACTTCATATCCATGCCCACTCCTCTTTCTCACTGCTGCCTACTCTGGAGATAGTTCCTAGGCAGGTGTGCGATGGGGAGCCAGGTGGTGGTACCCCCTAACAGAGGGACTGCAGCAGGAGGAGGTGCTTGGGGAAAGACGATGTGCTGACTTTGACACAGTGAACTTGAGATAACCTGCGCTCACCCAGGGGACTCAGTTAGAAACATGGGGTTGGAGCTTGGGGTAGGAGTTAGGGCTGCCACCCCTGGCATGGAGGAGGTGTCCAAAGATAGAGGCTCATCCTGGGAGACAGATCTTCAGGCAGAGAACAGGTCTGGGAAGGGTCCAGAAGAGGCCAGATCTGCAGGGCCAGCAGGGGAGCATGAGGCAGGGGGAGGAGGAGGAGGGGGGAAGAGAGGAAGGAGGACAGAGAGAGAGCGAGCAGAGCTGCAAGAGCCCTGAGTGAGCCTGCCACACTGTCAAAGGCAGAGCACAGACCCACGAGGAGAGCCAAATATCAGGGCGACCTGAGTGCGGGCTGAGTCTGTGTGAGAGGCAGGGGAGGGGTGGGAGCAGACACGGCGGGAGAAAGTCCTTTCCTCAATGAAAGTTTACGTACTCTCCGGTTGTTACACTTCAAAACTGTGTAGAACTTTTCTGCAGTCATGGTCTTACTCGGAAGTGCTATGACAATGGCCGGGACATAGAAGTCGTATCCTTCAGGTATCACAATTTTGGCAAACACGTAATCTCCAACCTGTAGAGGAGAGCACATGTCACAGCAAATGTTTTGCTTATGGATCAAAAGTATTAAAATATCCCCAGACAATTGGCAAGAACTGATGCTAAAATTCAAACACATATTTTTTTCTCAGTTAAGAAACAGTTCTAAAATTCTCTGGGCTTATTGGGCCACATCTGGAATTCTGGGGCCACTGTGGGGAAGCTCCATGTTAATAGGACTTTTAACAATTGACGAGGGCCCAGGGTTCTGGGAACTATATCCTACAAAGACTGTGAAGGCACCTGGGGCGTTGGCATGTAAAGATATGAACACTCAGATAGAGGAAAGGTGCAGATTTGTTTAATGCTACTCCAAAAGACACGTTCAGAATCCAGGGGTAAAAGTGGGGAAGAGATAACTTGTAGCACGAACAGAATCCTGTGAAGGGGCACACAGAGGCTGCTGCGCCTTTGCTGATTGTCAGGGGACCTGATTCCTCCTCTGGTGTTTCTCCTCCCGCTCACACTGTGCCAGGAACAGCGCAGTGGCACCTTGGGAGGAGGTCCTCTGCTCTCTGGCCTTGGTGCTGGGATTAGAATAGTGGCAGGAGGATGGGGCAGACACAGCATGGCTTCTATGAACTATGAGCAGATGAGAACACAGTAGTCTGCTTCATCCGTGGAAGGCACGTTTGGGGTAACTGCAATATGGCATCACATCGAACACCACTGGCACAGTGATATTTGTTGTTATTTACAAATATAATATGATAGTATAATACAACATAATATAATATACAATATAATATCCTTTCGGAGTTAAAGTGTCAAGAGCATTCACAGCTCAGCAACACCCTTCCCCCAGGCATCTATCGTCTGGTAATAGAAGAGAAGGGCCTCAAGGGGCAATGTAAGTAAGTCTGTGCAGCTGTGAGCTTTGCCATAGGGAGATGGCAGATTAGGCGTCATGAGCAAGGAAATTGCCAGGTGATGGATTCCAGGAACAGGGGCCACTGTTCCTCCTGCCCAAACACAAGCTCCCTGCAGGAGCCAACCTGGTTCAGAAAGAGCCAAATAGTAGGTTTTCCATCATCCCCTGTCATTCAAAACTCTGTAGATGCTGAAAGGGGGCCCCTGGAATAGATCATGGAACAGGTACCTGGAGCAGAGGGCAGGGCATGGCACCCCCCACAGGTGTGATGAACGAGGTGGACACAACCTTGGTGTCTCCATACCCGAAGCCCACTAGTGCCTGGGTGGGGCTCACACACTTCTTGACAACCCCTGGAGGGAACCAAAGAAAAAATGAAATACAAAGACAAGTATGGTCTGCTCCCCTGTCAGCCACATTGAGTTCTAACACGTTGCCTGTTCAGATCAGTATGCCCCTTGATTTTTCTAGCAGATAATATCCGACATAGTGTGATGCCTGGACTGAACAACTCAGAGTGGTGAAGCACAGTGCCCTGGCCGGAGCTCCTGCTGAGACGGGAAGCCAAAAGGAACTTATTCAGCTTGCATGGCTGGCATCCATCCTGATGGGAACATCGCTCCTAGAAACTAAAGGACCTCCTCCTGGACACCTCCTGCCATCTGACTTCCTTATTTTATTTTAGGTCCATTTCCTTCCATAACTTATTAGAAAATAGATGATGTTAAACTGGGAAAGTAGAAAGGAAATATGAACTCCTATCGAAATCAGTTTTTCATCTAATGTTGGATAAATAAAAAGGTAACTAGTAGGCTGAGCATAGCCTACAGCTTCCCTAAAATGTGTAGCCAAAAGGAAAAAAGAAAAAAGTTTTTTCTTTAGTTATATTTAAGGAGTATAGGATATGTATATACTCTAATATCATATTAATAATATAATCCTGTATTATAATACTATGTAATTATTGTAATAGATTATCATAGAAAAAGCAAATACTTGTGATAAGATTCATTTTTTTGGCATTTATTGACTTGAAATTTATTTTCCCATTAGAAAGGAGTTCTAAGCATTAACAGTGGATGCGTCCCCGGCAGTAACAACTGCTCAGAGACTCCCACTCAGAGACAGAAACGTGAGCGCGGATCCCCATTGGGCTCCCCACATGTGTGTCTGGCGTGCCTGCCCTGGCTCACACACTTGACTTAGCAAAGTCCCATGTCCTTCTAGGTGGCAAGAAGTAGCTATTGATTCTCCTTGTGATCCATGTCTCTTGTTTTAATTAGCTGAACAATTGAAAAATCTCTTCTTTTTTTTAACACACATACCAGAGCCAGTTTTCCATTGTGAATTTTCTTATTGGACTAAAATGTTTAATTTGGTTTTGGAAATGTTCTTTCTACATTTTTCACACATTTTCTGCCATAAGCTGACATTACCCTTTTAATCAGAAAAGAGAAACACCTGTTTCCAGAAAGAATTTCTATTATGGAAACAATTAAGAGCCAACCCTAAGTGAGAATGAGGGGACTGACTGGCCACACCCCACACACTAGTGAGCTTGCCCCCTCCTGCGGCTCGGGGGGAAGGCTCTGGGCTGTCCTGATGGCTACATTGCCCTTGTGACTGTCCCTAAGTTCTTAGACTTTGGGACTCAGCTGCATCCAGTGTTAAGCCTGCCTGGTGGTCTTTCAATGTTTGGGTAAACTGAGAAGTCCTGATAGAGACTAGGTAGCCCTCAAAGCCTACACCATTTCATTTCTCTCTTCTACAGAAAAAACCCCTGCCAATCCTTGCTCTAAATCACTGGGCTGGGAGTTTCCTGGATGTTGTGACAACTTCTTTTTAATCCCTTCGATTCTGTTTCCTTGTCTGTACAATCTCTGTAGATGTGGGTCTTTGTTCCTCTCCAGAAATGACTGTAGTTTCTTGTCTATCTTCACACCCCACCTCACCAGGTTTCCCTGTGGCTGGACTCGGGATGGAGGCCTCACAGCTGGCCTGCTCAGTCACTGCTGGACCTCTGTACTTGCTCCTTGTCATCTATGAAATTCTTACCACTTCTTATGTCCCGATTCAAGATCAACTGCAACGCTGGCACCCCTCACCCTGTAGTTCCTCACTGGCCTCAGGTCCAGAGAGGGAAGGCTGTGTCTCCTGGCTCTGAAGTTTCTCTGGCAACAGTGTGGGGACCTGGGCTGTGGAGAGTGGAAAGCCGGTGACCCAGCTCCTTCCTGGGGATGAGTTGGCTCCCTGACTAGTCCAGAGGGCTCTCCTGTACTCGTATGGGGACAGGGCCACACAGCAAAAACGTTGCCAAGTGCTCATGGTCAGTGGTCTGCTGAAACAGTTTGAGTAGACGGCATGAGTCAGTTCATTTGGTGAAACGTGCATGAATGGTTCTGAATCTTTTTGCTTCAAACACATATTTTTTTCCGGCTGGAGACTGAATTTTTTTTTTTAACATTTGGCTCTAAGAACCTGTCAATATTCAAAGCTTGGCTTAAATTCCACCTCCTAAAAAAGGCTCTCACCATGCTCCAGCCAGAACACCCCTCTGCCCACCCACTGCCATTGTAGTCGCCCTGCACCCTGGTGATCTGCTCTTTTTCCCCTCAGTCTCCGAGGTTTCCTTCCCAGCCCTCTGCACGGACTTTTGCCTCTGACTTGCTGTGCAAGGGAAAGCAGATCCCGCCACCCCCAGAAGAGGTCGGGAGTTGGTCTTCTGTGTCTCCTCAGAGGACCCCTCACACAGAATGACAGACAAAAAGTCCACGTGGAAAGTCTGGGACACGGAGTGCAGAGAAATTAAGTGACTCTAGTCATGCACCTCCAGTCACAAGGCAGAATTCAAATAATGAAAGCATCCACTTTCTGACGTTTCTTTTTATTTTTTTGCAATTTTTGGCCAGGGCTAGGTTTGAACCCACCACCTCTACCATATGGGGAAGGGGCCCTACCCCTTGGAGCCACAGAAGCCACCCAACTTTCTGACCTTTCTTAAGTCATTACACCCCCGATGCATTATGTTTCACCCCCTCCTTTTCTTCATTATCACCTGCTCCTAGGCGGTAGTGCAGAAATCTCTGAATTTCCTGAAGACAACTGATTCTTCCCACTGAACAGCAGGAAGGATGACCCAATTTCCACAAGTAATGATTTAAAATAAGGTTTTGAAATGTGTCTCTCTCCCTGCCTTTGAGCATCTGGGTAAGCCGGCCTAACAGCTTTTCACTTCTGTTCCATGCAATGTAGTCATTTCCTCAACTAGATAACCCAGGCTGAGCCTGGCATAGCCTGGGGCATGTGGAAATCCTGCCCTGAGCCCGAGGGGGTGGCAATCACCAGTCTGGCCAGCTCTGCCCAGCTCTGCCCCAGTGTGGACGTGGCCTCAAGCAATGGACGCTCAGACCCAGCTGCTCCAACACTGTCTTTTACAGAGGTGCATTTTAAAGCTGGCTGCCTTTTACTAAAAATATTTCAGAGGTTTTGAAAAACAGTTGCCAGAAAAGGAGTCACCAATGACTGTCTTGCCTGTGCTCTACAAAGCTCTACTTGGCCTTCTTGTCTTGCCAGAGGGAAAAACAGCACCTCACAATCAGCAGGGGATCTAAATTAACATCACCACTGAGGGCTGATGGACATCGCCTCCCTCTGGGTGGACTGTCCTGGGAGGGACATGACATCATTTAGGTAACATTCTGGCTGATGACCTGAATCTAATCTCACCCAAACTGAGGCATATTTTATAAAATAGCTGGCCTTCCTCTTCAATAATGTCCGTATCATGAAAGATGATGGCAAGTCTAAAGAATTATTCTAGATTAAATCTCGGATTATTCTAGATTAAAGAAGACTATAGAGACATGCTAATTAAGCAGTACGTGATTCTGGATGGGGGCTTATGTTGGAGAAAATAAATAGTATAAAGGCCGCCATTGGGACAGTTAAATAAATATGTCACAGGTTAGATAAAAGTGCTATAATCATGTTGAATTTTCTAAATTTGATAACTTTACTGTGGTTATATAAAAAATTCTTCTTCTTCTTGAGAAATACACACAGATGGATTAAGGGGGTTACCCAATCTCTCAGAGTTCTGAAAAAATAACGTGTACAAGTTATGTGTGAAGGTGAAGGAGGGGAGAGAAAGAAAATAAATAAAATAAATAATGCATGAGGTATGCGACAAAATGTTTAAAAAATGGCAAATCTGGGGACATTGTATACAAGAGTTTTCTGTATTATTCCTTTTGGGTCTATTTGAAATTATTTTAATTTAAAAAATCTCTTTTAAAGTTGAAATTCTCAATTAAAGATTAGTTGACTGTGGGGAGAGGACATAGGCACTATAATTCATCATGTCACAAACACGTCTCATCATCTCACCCAAACTAAGTACATCCAGATAACCCACACTCATCTTTAATTTGGCTGAGTCAAAGTTTATTACCCAGACACGAGTCAAAATTGCTGATTATATGACTAAATTCAAGCGTTTATTTCCTCCAAATGGACTTGAGTTTAATCTCAGCCACAGATTTAAAATTCCCAGTGAGTCAGAACCCATGTAGCTATTAGGAGCACAGACATGCTCTCTGCCTCTAACTAAACATTAAAACAAAATGCTGATGTGGCCTCAGGCACTGCATGTGGCTGGTATGTCTCAGTCTCTCTACCTCTCCAGTAGGTCTTTAGAATCTTCTCATCACACAGGGATGGTGCCGGGCAAAGGCCAAGCCATTTTACTTTTCTCCAGGGCCCTGGCCCCAGACTGATCTCAAGCTGTAAGCCAACCATTTGGAATTCAGTCCTTTTCAGCATTTCTGTTTGACTGCCAAATTAGCTACGGAACCCTCTTCCAGGCTCAAATTCAGAAAATCCAAAGTTTCTCAAGCAGGAGGGGCCTCCTATAATCACCTATCAGCAAGTCTGAGCCCCAGAGAAATGGAAGCTGCCCAGCCCCTGTTCTTAGCCTATGTGCTCATCTCAAATGCTCAGGTCTGCTTTACTCTTGTCCAGGAAACGCCAAAGCACATTTATTAAGTTTCAGATAAGATTCCCCAGTTGTCAGCTCTCTCTATATGCCTGCAGGAGAACAAAAATCCTGCTGAAATACTTTTTCCCCACCTAAAGAGATCATCTAATTAAATTTAAATAATAATTATTCTTTCAACTGGTCACTGATAGATTATGCCTATGCAAGGCCAGCTATGTTTTTGCTGTGTAATCTTTTTCCACCCAACAGAGCTTCCTCAAGGGTTTTCTCCAGTTCTCTCTTCCCTACAGACCCTTCCTGTGAATTTTTTTGTTTGTTTTTTTTTGTTTATAGACAGAGTCTCAGTTTGTCACCCTTGGTAGAGTGCCATGGCATCACAGCTCACAGCAACCTCAAACTCTTGAGCTCAAGTGATTCTCTTGCCTCAGCCTCCCAAGTAGTTGGGACTACAGGCACCTGCCACCAACACCCGTCTATTTTTTAGAGACAGGGTCTCACTCTTGCTCAGACTGGTCTTGAACTCCCGAGCTCAGGCAATCCACCCACCTCGGCCTCACAGAGTGCTGAGATTACAGGCGTCCTTCCTGTGATTCCATGATTTTTGTGTTGACTCCCAAATTTCTATCTCCAGAGAGATTTCTTCTCCAGCCTCCAGCCCCGTATCTCCAATTGCCTCTCCACCATCTTCAATTGTGCCATCTCATAGGCACTGCAATTCATCATGTCACAAACACGTCTCATCATCTTCCTCTCCACATCATCACCTCCGTAGTAGGTATGGCTATCTACCTACTGTCCCAAGCCAGGGATCCCAGTGACATCCTAATCCACTTCATATCCACTCTTCAAGTGGCAATAGGAGGGATCATTTTTAAACTTCAGGTGTGATTATGTTTCTGCCTGTTTGATGTGGCTCCCTAACGCCCTCAGAGTAAAGCACACACTTCTTAACATGACCCTTTAAGAATAGCCCTGTACTGACGTCTCCAAAGAGCTTTATTATTTTCCATCCTTCCTTTGCATTCTAGGTTCCAACCATAATCAACTTTATTTCTCCAGATATAAAATGTTTTTCTTTGCTTCTAGATCTTCATACATATTACTATCACTCTCCAGGAACTTCCCTTCATAGCTCCACCCCACAGTACCTGGTTGATTCCTTTAGGGATCATGTCTCCCACGGGAAGTCTAGGGCAAACCTCTGAAGTCCAGCTGGACCAGTCACCTTGCTCTGCCTCCAACACACCCTCCCTGTGCGCTCCAGCCTCAGGCCTTTGTGCTGCTGTTCGCTTGCTTAGAACTCTTTCCCCTACATAATCCCATGGCCTTCCCTGCCTATGCTAAATCCTTATTCACATATCACCTTCCCCAGGACCTCTTCATTACCCACTGTATTTAGAATGATAACCTTCGGCCTGACATTCTCAACCCCTCTCGTGGCTTGAATTTCCTCTACAGTAGTGATTTTCAACTGGTGTATTGTGAGAGGGTCTTAGGTATGCCACAAAAACTTTTAAAGATTATTACCTACATTATTTTCGAAAGAAGTTCAGAGCACAGTAAGTATATTCTTTGTGTTTACTGTTTTTTTTTGCTCAACATAATTTAAATGTGCCATGCAAGTTTAACTATAGGTTCAAGTGTGCCATGAGACAAAAAAGACTGACTGATCTATAGCACTGTATCCAATAGACGACATATTTTACTTGTTTATTTGTTTGCTTGTCTGTCTCCCTTACTAAGATGTAACCTCCATAAAGACAAGAATTTTCTCTGTTTGCTCACTGCATTAGACCAGAGCTTTCAGAATGTTACATACATGGAACAGAGTAGGTGTGGAATAAAAATTTGTTTACTAAAAAAAAAAAAAGAGAGAGATTAAAATAAATACATTTTTTCTGGCTACTTTTTCCACAAATATGGAAAGACATTTCATCATTATTTCATTTGAGAAGTATAATACCATAGTCCAGCTCATGAAATGTCAAGGTCTAGGGAAAGTACAGGTTGAAATCTCTGATCCCCCAAATCAAACAACAACAACAAATCTACCTGGAAAATAAAATCCATTTTCATCACATCTTGCAATAACCTTCTGGCCTTTGAGGGGATCCGGCTTTTTTGGTTTGGTTTTCTTTGTAGAGTTGGCTTGCAATTTCTGTGGCTGAAAAAGACAAAACAGTAATAATTGATGAGAAAAAGTCGATGCAGATAGTGCAAATCCTAAGTTCTGGGTATCCTGGAAATTTCTACTGAGATTCACGCTATTGGAGGGGTATGGAACATACTTATACTGTGTACTTACTCTGGAGTACTTTTGGTTCTATGTCCATTACAAATTAACCCTTTTGATAAGGGAAATTTCTACCTTCCACAATTTTCATACTTTAGAGTAAAAGGAGAACTGGAGGACCAATTGAAGAAAAGAGAAATAAGGAAAAATCATATATATACAACTAGAATTCCTGAAATTGTACGATAGCTTCAAAGCTGGAGAGCAAAGACTATTTCAGAGCCGTGAGCAGTGCTACCACCTTCCTAGAATCGTGAGGGGTCAATGGGTCCTTCAGCAGAAAAGTCAGTCAGCCATTGGGGAGAGACAAGCATGGAATCCCAGTGGCTTACAGAAATACAACAGTCCACCCCACCTCTTCAGAACAAGGAAAAACCCTTATATTCAATTGTCTTTACAAAGAGGAGAGAAATCCATGGGTTGAGACTGGCTCATAAGTGGATTATCCTTGTTCCTGGTAGCTCCTCCTTGGCGTAGCAAGGGATACCAGAAGGCAGTAGGGCAGTGCTTTCAAAGCTCTGGGAGAAAATGCATTTCAGTCTAGAATTCTAAACCCAGGAAAGCTGTAAATCAAATTTAAAAACAAAGTAAAGACATTTCTAGTTATCCTTAAGCAAAAACATGCCCATCCCATTCATCTAATCTTTAATAGAACCTTTAATCTTCATCTCACATAAAACCTTAAGGAGAGATGAGAACTCCTAAGCTATGAAAATATTTATCCAGTCATAATAATGCAAACACTCTTTTGTTTTATTTTTAAAAGAAAAATTTTAAACATTCATAGTAAACCTTTGGAAAGAGCACAACGTTGGTAACACAAAGAGCTCATTGTGTAGCTCCGGGAATGCTGGAATGAAAGGGGAAAGAAAAACCACTGGCACAGGTATCTCCACCATGGCATGCCAGGAATTGAAGATTATGAAATGTGATATATCAAGAAACAGAGGCTTAAGTAAACTAATTGAAATGCTACAAATGCAGCCAGTAGGACAAAAAATACTATAAATATCCAATATTAGGAGCAAGATAAGAAGAGGAAAGTCATGAACGTAAAATTATCATCTTTTTCATATAATGAAATAAAAATATTGTTTAAACATTATGAATCATAAAACCATGAAATATTTGAAAGAAGTGGGTGGTGCCTGTGGCTCAAAGGAGTAGGGCACTGGCCCCATATGCTGGAGGTGGCAGGTTCAAACCCAGCCCTGGCCAAAAACTGCAAAAAAAAAAGAAGTACTTTGATAAAAGTTAATAATACAGAAATCTCAGAGAGGAAAGAGTTAGAGAAGAGGATGACTTTATTTTTCTATATGATTGAATCAAAGTTCTGGACTCACCCCTGTGTAGAAAGGACTCAAAGCAGCTTAGCAAAGGCTTTGAGAATGATTTTTTTAATTTCAAAATATTGGTTTTTTTGAGACAGAGTCTCAAACTGTCACACTAGGTAGAGTGCTGAGGCATCACAGCTCACAGCAACCTCAAACTCTTGGGCTTAAGTGATTCTCTTGCCTCAGCCTCCCAAGTAGGTGGGACTACAGGCCCCTGCCACAACACCCGGCTATTTTTGTTGTTGTTGTTGCAATTGTCATTGTTGTTTTAGCTGGCCCAGGCTGGGTTCAAACCTACCAGCTTCTGTGTATGTGGCTGGCGCCCTACTCACTGAACTACAGACACTACAAATGTTTTAGGTTACGTGAATTATTTTTACAATGCTTGAGTTGGGGATGTAAGTGTGCCCATCACCCAATGTCTTCATTGTACCCATTAGGTGTGATGGGTTTTTGCCCAGCCCCTCCTATCTCACCCTTTATTTCCACAAAGTTTTACTTCCCTCTAGGCGCATGTGTTTTCATCAGTTAGTTCCAATTTAATAATAAATACGTGTGGTGTTTGTATTCTTTAGCTACTTCACTTAGGATAGTGGTTCCATTAAAATTTTTGCAAAAGGCATTAATTCATCCTCCCTATGGCTGAGTAGTACTCCATATTGTCACTTATTGTTCTTGGCTTTTTAATACAAACCATTCTAGCAGGGGTAAGGTGATTTTTTATTGTGATTTTGATTCCCATTTCCCTGATGATTAGGGATGTTGAGCATTTTTTCATATGTTTAATGGATACTTGTCTATCCTGTTTTGAAAATCCTCTGTTTGTGTCTTTTGCCCACTTTTTAACAGTTTGCTTTTTCCTTGCTGATTTGCCTGAATCCTGTGTGGATTCTGGTTATGAGCCCTTTGTTGGATGTATAGCTGCCAAATATTTTATTCCATGCTGTGCATTGTCTATTTTCTCTGTTGATGATTTCCTTAGCTGTGCAGAAGCTTTAATTTAATCAAGTCCCATTTATTTAGTTTTGGTATTACTTTAATTACCATTGTGTTCTTACTCATAAATTCTTTGTGTAGGCCAATATTTAGAAGAGTTTTTCCTACATTTTCTTCTAGAATTCTTATGATTTCATACCTTACGTTTGTGACTTTTATCCATCTTGAATTAATGTTTATGAGTGGAGATATGGATACTGTTTCATTTTTCTCTATAAGGCTATCCCATTTTCCCACACTATTTACTGAACAGGGTTTTCTCTCCCCCCCCCCCAGTATATAGTATTGTCTGCTTTATCAAAGATCAGTCAGTTGTATGTGGATGGTTTAATGTCTAGGTTCTCTGATCTGTTCCAAAGGTCTATGTCACTATTTTTGTGCCGATACCATGATGTTTTGGTTACTATAACCTTGTAGTATAGTTTGAAGTCTGGTAACGTGATGCCTCTAGATTTGTTCTTTTTGCTTAAGATTGCTTTGGCTATTAGGGCTCTTTTCTGGTTCCATATAAAGCACAGAATTATTTTTTCTAGATCTATGAAATATGTTGATATTTCAATGGGGATTGCATTGAATCTATAATCATTTTAACAAAATTGATTCTACTGATCCATGAGAATGGTAAATATGTTTTGCCATTTATTTGGGTCATCTGTAATTTCTTTCCTCAGTGTTTCAAAATTCCCCTTTAAAGATCTTTCACCTCCTTGGTTAAGTGTATTCCTAGGGTTTTCTTTTTTCTTTTTTTTAGATATTGTGAATGGTATTGAGTCTTTAATTTGACTCTCAGCTTGACTGTTAGTGTATAGCAATGCTACTACTGATTTGTGTACATTGATTTTGTAACCTAAGACTTTGCTGAATTTATTTATCAATTCCATGAATCTGTTGGTAGAGTTTTTATAGTTGTCTAGATATCAAATCCTATCATCAGTGAAAAGTCATAGTTTGACCTCCCCTAGCCTAACTTAGATACCCTTTATTTCCTTCTCTGCCTGATTGTTCTGGGTAGGGCTTCCAGTGTTATGCTGAATGGAAGTGGTGACAGTGGGCAGCATTGTCCTGTTCCAGTTCTTAGGGAAAATGCTTTCAAATTTTCCCAATTCAATATGATGTTTGGCTGTGGGTCTGTCATATATGGCTTTTATAATTTTGAGACATGTTCCTTATATACCTAGTTTCTTGAGGGTTTTTATTATGAAAAGTTGCTGCATTTTGTCAAATGCTTTTTCTGCATCTACTGAGATGATCATATGGTCTTTGTTTTTCCTTCTGTAGTGAATCACATTTATTGATTTACACATGTTGAACCATCACGTATGTAACCATTACATATGTAGCATCCCTGGGATGAAGCCTACTTGGTCATGGTGGACTATTCTTTTGATGTGTTGTTGAATTTGGTTTGCTAGTATTTTATTGAGCAGTTTTGCATCCTCAATATTCATAAGGGATGTTGGTCTGTAGTTTTGTTGTTGTTGTTGTCTTGTTCTTTCCTGGCTTTGGTATCAAGGGGATATTGGATTCACAGAATAAATTGGGCAGGATTCCTTCCTTCTTAACATTATGGATAATTTCTATAGTATGGGTACCAGCTATTTTTTGTAGGTCTGATAAAATCCAGCTATGAATCTACCTGATTCAGGTCTTTATTGTTGGGAGTTTTTCTTAATTACTTCAATATTGTTACTCATTATTGGTCTGTTCAGGACTTCTATTTCTTTCTGATTGAGTCTTGGGAAGCTGTGCATTTCCAGAAATTTCCATTTCCTTTACAGTTTCAAGTTTATGTGTATAGAGATTTTCACAGTGTTCACAATATTTCACAGTATTCACAGAAGATATTTTGTATTTCTATGGTATCAGTTATAAAATCTCCTTCTTCTTTTCTGAGTAAAAGTTTAATCCTCACTCTCTGTGGAAGCCTTGCTTTGGTAGATGCACTAACAGAGAGGAATTAGCTGCTCCTGAGACCCCTGGCTCAATCATCTCTCTCAGCAGCCATGGGGGCAGGGGAGAGAGAAACAGAGGAAAAGAATCTCTATGGAGGAGAGTTAGTGCTCTGGGTGTCCCTCTCTTTGGAAGGCAGCCTACCCCGAAAGAATGTCCAGTAACTGGGATTATGCAGATCCCTTGGAATCTACCGGCTCTTGTGGCTCCCACAGTCTGGGCTAGAGTTGGTGACTATGTGGGAATGAGCAAGATGACAACAGAAGGATGAAGCCCCCTGGGGAGGACAAAGGCACATGGTGGGTGGAGAAGCAATATGGCATCTGCCACCTCAGCTTGGGTCTGTGGTCATGGGGCTGGGAGCCTGGCGCCTTGTTCTCAAGAAGCTCCCAGTTCACTGGTGGCAGCGCTTTTGGACTCATGAGAGTAAAAAGGTTCTTCAGCAGCTTGGGAGCCTGCTGACCACCAGAGATGTTAGGGAGAAACAAACCACCACACCTGTCATTTTGTCAGACTTCAGGACTCTTGGGGGTTTATTTCTGCTGATATCTTGCTCCTTCTTGTTCTGCTCTGCAACTTCTTCCTGTGGAG